CCAAGTGTTATTTGTATGCTCTTGTTTGGCAGTTAAAAATCACTTTAAGAAAAGGGAGACTTTTTTTTTTGTGTTTCATACTGAAAAAAAAATATGTTCTGTAAGTTAATTATAATAGCAAGAGAATGCTGAATTGCAGAGGGGAAAACCAAGCCCACCTGGGAGAAGAGATAACAGGAGTTAATCATGTGTGAATTGCTTTGAGGGGAAAAGTGCACAATCCAGTCTAAAGCCTCACTGAAATTATTCCTGTGCACTAATTTTCTGCTTCATTTTATTGACATAATTGATGCTATACTGCAACACGTCTTGGAAATGCGCTGCAATGAGCATATTTCCTTCTGATACAGGTTTCTTTCCAAATAAATAGTGAAGAATAATTCATTACAGCATGTTTTTCACATGAAAGTTGACTTATATGTGTTTTGTGGGGTTTTTTTGTGCTGTTTCCTCTCTGCCAGCAAACAATTCTAAAATCAAGTCAGTATTGTGGTGTCTATGGCATATAAATGCCCTCGTAAGCTTGGTCTTCCCGTGGCATTCGAAAGTGTCCAGAAGAAACATTATTTCAGAGGGACACTTAGCACAGATGGTCAAGGTATCTGTAGAAGTTAGAACCATGCAAAATTTCCTGAAATATGTACAGGAGTGCATCAAGGAAAATAAACATCGCTGGGTACAAACACCAGCAATTTCTCTAGTGTCCTACTTTCTGGAAAAGACAGTATAAAAATAAAATTAAAATTGAGGCTATTCATTGTCCACTGAAGTACAATTGTTACTTGTAATTTCTGAGCAAATTTCCTCCTTGTAAAAAACCTGTGGAGAGCAGGCATGCATTCTAACTTCTACGGCAGGTTGTAGGGGCAAAGCTAAACCTTTTTTAAGGGCAGAGTTTTACAAATTGATATTTTACCTTGGTGGTGTGGGTGCTGTAGTAAATAACAAGTGACTCAGTGAAGATGACAGAATGACGTTTTTGAGTCCGCAATTAAAGTTCCAGAGTTCCTGAATGAGAGAACAAATGGGACTCTTGTCAGTAACTATATCAGATTTTGGAAAATCTCTGTTATTTATATTAGACTTTCTCTGTTTGAGGTTTTTGTAACAAGCTCAGCTGTCCCATAAAATGGAGACTAAGACTCTGTCAGAGGGCAGGGTACCCTGCAGCTGTTTCAATGAAAAACAGTGTAGATAAAGTTGTGGTTCAGTTTTCCTGTAGGCTGACAATCCAAAGATCACACCTCTTCCACTGCAAAATCAAAAGAAAGCAACATCATTAAATAAACCTTGTTTGCTGGAAGAAATTGCCATAAATTTCTCGGTTGGAAGTCCTGCATAACACCAAGGAAATCACTGCACGGGCACCTGATTTACATTTGTAGAAAGGCTGTCCTAGATGCTTTTGTCTTTTCCCTTCTCCTTTCCCTGTCTTGCATATTATTCTTCGGGAATACAGGAGAAATTATTAAAGGTGATTCATCAGATTCCTTTGGATTCCAGTTTCAAGGCAGCCTAACATACCAAAATGGCACTACAAACTCCCCCCTTATTAGCACTGTACGTGCCTTTCCTGCAAGGCTGCTTGAAAGAGACTCTCAGTTCTTTACAAAGAAAAGAACTTGAACATGTTTTAACTGAGTTTGTAATGAATTCCTTTTTATCTCTCAGATTCTCACATCTGGTTAATACAGTCCTCAATGCCGCTAGTAATGGATTCGTGCCAGTTCTGGACTTTGTGAAGCTTGAACCTGAAGGTAAACCTCCTGTCACTGGGCACCTGTGGATTCTCCTCCTGCCTATTTGTGCCCTTAATGTTGTGTGTTGCTATTCGTAGTCTTTTTTAGTCTATTTTATTTTCAGTCATGTGATGCAGTGATCCAAGTTGAGTACAGAAGAGTCTGTTGGGCTGCCAAAGCCGAAAGACAACCTACAGCAATTCTGAGTCGTGGAAGAGACATAGCAACCTTTGGGATTATTGCTTAGCAACTGCAAACACACAGAGGAGTAAAACTCACAGCCCGGCTCCGCAGCAGGTCTGAGAAATCCCTAATTCACTTTAAGATTTTTAATGGTTGAGAACAGATGGGCATATATTCAACTCCTGCTCCCTTGCAAAGCCACTTTGAAAGCAGGAGGAATAAGATCTGTTTTGATACCTGCTCCAAAGGTAAGAAAAACAGTTCTTCAAGGCTTCAGAAAGCAAAAGAGAAAGTCTTTTTATGTCTTGATTGTATTGAAAAAAAAAGATCATGTATGAAAAAGGTATTGGGCTTGTAGTGCCTGGTGAGATAAACTTGCTCTGGGAAGCACATTAGGGAAAGGCAAAACTATTTCTGAGCGACAGAGCATCAAAGAGTTTGGACTTGGTTTGTAGCTTGAACATCTCCAAAATATTTGCCTAGACAAACTTTAGTGTTTCCTGGTCCTATCCCACCTATCAAAATCCTCTAAAGAAATAACAATAAAACCATAAAAATCATATTTATGAGCAGATTTGGATTTTGTGCAGAAAAAGGAGAGATAATATTTTTTTGTACCTGCAGGGATTCCAGCAAGAACATTTCTCTCGTGGAAAAGGAGCCAGGGAAGTGGCATCCTACTAAATAATGAAAAGCTTACCTTGCTTTCAGCCTGAGCAAAGGCTTACAAGAAACTTTATATCACATTTCAAATTTCCTGGGTGTTTCTAAAGCTCGTTTCTGCGCACCATGCTTGCTGTTATTTGGACAATTCCCTCCACCTGGGAATGTCGTAGCCCATTATGTCTCTATGTATTATGGGCCAAGTTCTCAACTAATGTAAATCAGCACTGAAGTTTATGAGCCAATGGTGTCTTATACAAACTGTAGGTGTGTCCCTGTAACCCTCAGCAAATTCCAAGTTTCAGTGCCTGATCCTAGCACCCCTGTGTTGTTTATTTCAACAGTTACACTCTGTTTGTATGTTCTTCTATACCCTCTTAGTCTTGTTTATCTGCCCTCCACTGAAGCAGTGGGCACAGTTCTCTGTGCTCTGCTTCCAGTCTTGGAGTTTTGCAAATACCGTGGAATGAGGTAGAACAGTCACACTGAGTTGGTTTGGTTTTGTTTTGTTCAGAGGCATAGACATGCTTTATAAACATTTACTAACCCTCAAAGTCATCCTTACAAATGGTTGAGAGCACTGCAGAAAAGAGATTCGTAATCGTCAGAATCAGCCGCCTCATAAAGCAGAGTGCAGTTGTCACTTGAACATTGCACAGAAACTGCAGAGCGGTTTCATAAAGGATGTTAAAAAATAACATAAGTCTTTGAAACTGCGAGAGCAGTTTATTTTGGCACAACAAAACCAGCTGATTTGGAATGTGACGACCACATTTGGTTAACACCCTGCTTTGAACCAGAGCGAGTCTGGTTTTACAGCTTATTGAAAGAACCTCACCTAAGCAAGGAACAGTTTGAGAGAGTTGACAGATTTCCCTTTCTGCCATTATAAATCTGGTCTTCTTTACAGCTCGTGTCCATCAGTGGCAAAACCAGGTGCCATCCTAAAACCTTCTCTGTGGGTCAGGCAGGCAGCTTGATCCGTAAATTCATCTCCCCAGCAGGTAATCGTCTTTGAAAACCCATTTCCAGAAGATACCAAAAGCCCATCGAGAAAACAGACATAGAAATTTAGTGCTGTGAAGCATCCTACTTAGCCAGGCACTGTTTGGGCTCTAACAATGGTTATGAGCCAGAAGGTCACCGTATCGGTAATTACATTTGGGTGCCAGGAGGGCTGTAGATCACATTTATGTGTTTCCTGGAAGGCTGAACTCCCTTTAGAACTACAAATGCTTAAACACGAAAAGCAAAACATATCAAAAGTGGAGTGATTGCTATGGATACTGGTGGGCCTTAGCAAACAGAACTTTTAAATAAGAGCTTGAAAAGAATAGCATGGCAGCAAGTTGTGGAGTTTCATCTCTAGTTTGGAAAGGCGTTAGGTTTGCTCTATTAATATCAGTCTTCCTTTGCTGTTGTTTGACACTGAGGTGGGTTTTGCAGCCCGTTGGTGATTTTTCATGCTTTGAATCCAGCAGTTTGGCAACATTCTGCTCCCTGCTGTGTGTCAAAGTCCCGTTGCCGAGGGTTGTGTGTGTGGACAAATAGCACTAGTTGCAAACTGTACATTGTAAGCAACTCAGTTTCTTCCTGGTATTTCACAGAATGAACATTCTGAGGAGAAAACAGCGGAGTGTGGGCAGTTGTAAAGGGAGATACCTGCAGCTCTCTGCAGGTCTTTCACACAATAATCTACAAGATTAAGTGCTTGTGAACAGTTTAATTACAGAGCTCATGAACTCTGGCTCTGCTGACCCACACACCCGTGTCCTTATTACCTTAACAAAGTGTCCAGAGGAAAAAATAGTTGCCAAAGTTGAACTTAAGTGGTCTTTGGGACAAGCTTCCTCAATGTTTTTCACAGCTACAAAAAACAGATGAAGCAGAAGGCGACATGTAGAGAAATCTTGCTCCTAGGCAGCTGGTATGTTCCATTACTTGCTTCCTTTGTCTCGTATCCACGGGATTTCCTGGAGGCATGGAATGGGACCTACGCAGAAATAATGGCACTAGGGGTAAGAGGAATCCACTGGTTAAAACTGGGGGACAGGACTTCCCAGCACTGTTCACCGCTTGGTTTCTGAGTCTCTAAGTGACCTGGAATTAATCACTTCTGTGTCTCGGTTTCTTCTCCCGTAAGAAAGGAACACGCTTATTTAGTTGCTCTGTCTCCAAGGACTGTTGTGATACATAATTAATCTTTATAAATCATTTACTGATCTTTGAAGTAAAGGGGCTGTATTTATTTAAGAGTACAAAGCAGCAGTAACAGAATAAAAAACAAACATAGAAAAAGAATATTATTTAATTCCTAACAATAGACTTTCTTCCTGTGTCATCTGGTGGGACACTGCTGCATCTTTTGGCATTACATAACACGCTGCTTTTGTTCCATGTCCCAGTGACTGAAGTATGGCTGCTCCGCCAGAAGCAGCTGCCCAGGCTGCAGATCTAAAACATCCTGGACTTGGAGGTGAGAATCTGATTGCCACAGAAACGACAAGAAAGGAGCGGAATGACGAGCTGCCCTGTCTTAGTAATTTTGCTCCGTGGAAAGAGTAGTACAGCAGAGGTGTCTGAGTCTGCAAGAGAGAAAGGTGAAGACGATTCGCGCACAAAAGGTGGAAGAAGAAAAGGTAAAGAAAAGCGAACCCTGTGACTGGCTGACCAAAGAGTGGTTCAGTGTAGAGAAAGAGTCACTAGATACTCGCATCTATTTGCTTGAAAAACTCCTACCTACATTAATCCCAGGAGTGGAAAAACTCTTAATGGAAGTGGAAAGAAAGAATGTGCTTGCACCAGACAAAGAACCAACCAAATTTAACCCCATTACTTTTCTTGGAGAATATCTGGTGAGACACAACCCTCAGTACAGTATTTCTACAAAACCAGGCCCGTACCTGAGAGGAATGAAAGCGGCCACGGAGGAGCTAAAAACTGAGATACCAGGCACTACATCAGAGAGGTGAGAGAGTTGAAGGTGTAGTTGGTCACAAGACCAAAGCTGGTGTCTCTGTTTTACAAAAGGGTGGTGTGACTGCGGCCTGGCTGCAAAGTGTCGAACAAAACGAAGCTGCTGGAGTGCGCTGCCAGGGGTGGTGGTTGTCTCTCATAAAAACTTGGGAAGCAAGACGAGTGCCAGAGCATGACACACAAAATGAAACACTAGTTATTCCTGTCTAAGGCAATATTCTCCCCTTCACAGGTATATGATTCCTTTGTAGACTCTATCTTAATTACATGTGTGGAATGCAAACTGCTTTCAAACCAGTCTAGGTTAGTGACAGCAGTTCTTTAGGTGTTAGTATCAGAGGTCTATGGACTCCTCAGAGCATTTCTTTTATATTCTTCCAAATTTAAGAAAAAGATAACCTTTCTTCCTCCTTCAGGATGATTCCTCTTGACCAACAAGAATATTGTCCTGGCATATTGTAGAAATGCCTTCTCCTAGGATTTTTACTTGGGCTTTTCCTTCAGATTCTTTTTTCCCTTTAAAGTAGAAACTGTTCTGTGGGGGTTTATGTTGCTATGTATTCTAGGCTGCTTGCTGCAGTATGATTTTTAATAAATATTGGAATAGGCCTCTGTGGCATCTTACAGTATGACAGGGTTAGAATGCGAGTGCATTAGGTGAACAGTAATGCTTTTATTTTCATTGCTCTATTCAGAAAAATATAGAAGTGAACATTTGTGTTTAAAGATGACCCAGAGGTGATTGTGAATGATGTCAGAGTTACTCATTCTCTACTAGATCACTTTATTCTGTACCCGTGTTTGTAGAATAATGACTTCCGTTTGAATGGCTGCCTCTTCTATTTGCATAACTAGTACGTACAGCTTGAAAATTGGTTTCAGGGTTTCAGTGTCAGGAATTAGGGAAGTAAAATGTTGACATGTCTTATGCATAAACTCTAAATGAAGATAATAGAGTTCTCAGTATTAAAATGAATAAAAGAATATGTTAAATCTCTCTCTACTGCTCTGAGTTTCTGTCTCTACGTTTCTAGTCCACATACTGTTACAGTTCATAGGAACATGCTTTGTGTGAATACAAATAAAGCAGTGTGGTAAGTGAATTCATACAGTCACTTACCCCCTTTTTGCCCACAGATAAAAATAATTATAACTGATTGCGATCAGTCTGTAAGAGCTTCAGCTTTTTGATTTTTTTTCATGAGGAGACATACAATAGTATAACCAAAGCTGTTAAAGGACTTTTGGCTTTATTTTTTAAATAGTGGCCCACAAATGATCTGAGGAGATATCTTCTTTTTCAGTGAGCTTTCGCTCAAGCACAGACTGTTCTGGGAGGGTGTTTAGGATGCCAGCCTTGCCAGGCTTTTGTTTTGGAGACTGTTTCATCATTCTTATTCCTTCACAGAGGGACTCCTGGATGCAGGAAGTCAGAACTATACCTCGTTTTTATTTTGCAAAAGAAATGGGATTAAAATACATAAAATTCCCTGGGGGCTTGCGTTGGTTTTTTATTTGGTTTTGGGTTTGGGTTGATTTTCTTTCTGCTAAAATACTCTTGGTTTTCATTGTGAATCAGAGCTTGTTTCTGGAGAGGTCAGATTTTCCTGTAGAGTGCAAAGTGGTGGCTACCAGTGACATGGTATCTTGGCGCTGGCTGTTAAGTCCATGTTTACATCTGCAGACAGGTTCTCAATTTGTAGCTATCAGAGCTGATGCAAAGGAAGCGACTACCAAGACTTGTAGAAATCAATCTCTCCGAAGACAGCGCTGCCACGGGGCTTTACGTAGCCATAGCTGTAGCAGCGTTTGCATGTCCGCTGGTCGTAGTATCATGGGATTTGCGTTCACGGCAGCTCAGGATTTACATATTTGTGATGGCTGTATTGTGGGATTTGCATAGAATTCTTAAACCGCAGCAGCACACGGGGTTTTACTGACACCGCGTAGCACTGAGGCTCTGATGTGAGTCACTGGCTTTCTAAACACGAAAAAAAAAAATGTTACAAAAGAAATGTTGGTCTCTGCTCAAAATCTTGCACCTAAGCACCAGAAAGCTGGGCAGTAAAATTCTGGCTCAGGTGAAGCTCTCAGGAACCTTGACATTACCTTCAGGAAAGGCAGGATTTCACTACAGGCTCGTATCTAAAGCTTACCCATCCTGGGGGAGCTCTCTCAGCTTCAGCCTCCCACTTGCCCGGGAGCCAAGGCACACAGGAGAGCAGAAGGGAGAAATCCCTTTTCCAGATGGATCGATACCTGACACGGAGGCTCTATTTGTCCGGGATGGTAGCCCTTCAGTCTGAGTCACCCATCCTCGTGTGGGAGGGAGGCGGCCCTTTTCCTGAAGAAACATGTTTCATTCTGCAGGGAGAAGTCACCCTCGCTGCCATCTCATCTCTTCTGGAAGCGTCTGATACTGAAAAGATCTCGCTTTGAAACAGGTGCCCAGCGCTGCTCTGGCCTGTTTTGCCTTTATTGCCTAAGAGCAAACATTTTGTCCCCCACCAGGGACACCAGGCAAAGGACGTAGCTGCCCAGTCTTTTAGGACCCTAGAACTAAAGCCGAGCGCAGGTGCCACACACGATGATGCTTGTGCAGGGCACAGCCCATGTGAACCACCGGGGCACCTTGGCAATGGCTTTAGCTCTGCTTCCAGCCTGCAGACGGTGCCTGAGGAGAAGCTGCAGCCAGAAAGGGTCTGGTTTTCTCTTTCTGTCTGTAGCACGCCTTGGAGAAAATTCAGTTACTACCTGCCACATTCCTCCTCTTGCTGTGTCGGTGAAGGGATCAGAAGATGGGAAATTGTTTCACCCATCCTCTGCTCTCAAAGTGCTGGAGGGAACTGCCTCAGCAGGCACCTGTGCAATGCCCTCGATTGATTAAGGAACCCAATTATTCATTAAGAAACCTCTGTGATAAGTGGCTGTGAAGAACAAGCACCTAGTGATAAAGCTGGCTGTGAACAAACTGTTGCTGAAACGTGCTAAACAAACCTTTGTATTCATTAAAGAAAATAAAATCGATGCAAAGAAAAGGGAAGAGGAAAAGGAGGTACCTTTAATCCAAGCTTACAAACTGTATGTTCAAAATGAGGGAGAGGTTGATTTATTATCCCTGTCCTGAGGCAGTAAGGACTTTATTGTGTGAGACTTAAGAAATTTCATTGAACGTTGTTCTTTGCCAGTGAAGGGCTCACGTGAGATGGTACTCAGGCTTTGAGACAAATGCATACTGAGGCAATTTTGTTGGTAAATCAAGTGCAGCAAGATTAGGCACCTCTCTTCTTGCTGAAATTGAAAGGAAATTGAGGGACATCTGCACAATGAATGATTAATGCCATTATAAATGTGAAGGTAAAATTTATCACTGTTGAAACTACACAAACTAGGAGAGCTGTACAGACGATTTCCCCTTAAAATGTCTATCGTATAGTCTACAAGAGGCTGACACTCAGCGGTTATTTCTTCAGATTCATAGTTAGATTTCAGGGATGGTACATGTCAGAATAAAAATACTCTCATCTCCTTGGAGGTGCCCTCTGAAAACACAAATTACTGATATCTAGTCCAATAGTCATACTAGTAATTTTGTGCCTCAAATATATTTCTTGGGAAAAAAATCTGCTTTCACTAGAAGGACAAGAATTTCAGTAAGAAGCTACTTCTTTTCCTTTTGTTTAATCTTAAATACATTTATGACGGTATCTTTCTAAACCACATTCCCATGTCCTACAGGCTGGCCAGGATGAAGGTTGAGGCGGAGAACAAATGTAAGGACAGGGAGCAGGTGGAGAATATCACGGCTCAGGTGAAGGAGATGAGAAAGGAGGCGCTGGCGATTCAGTTCAAAGAGTGGACAGTGGACGACAGTGGCAGAATACCACTTGCGCAGGTAACTGGGGATGATCCGTATTAACACACCGCTGTGATTGTTCCAGACAGGAGGAAAAGGAAGACTGTGACAGTGCTGTCTGCCCTGGCACGGCAGCACGGAGCACCCGGGGTGGGTGATGGCTCTGACGTCCCTTGGGGACAGGGTGCAGGGCGCTGTCTACCACTTTGTTCACCAAGCCCTGATTCCCCTGAGCACGTGGAAGGTTTGCGGTGTGTTCTCCACAGAGGTCGAGGGAAGCTAAATGCCCTGTAAGGGACTCACCGACACTCCTGAGGTTGTGGGATACATACCCCATCCCTGGATGTCCTTCTCTGCAGCTGGTTATCCCTCAGAATGCCTTTAAAAAGGTCCAGATCAGCCAGTCCTGGTCTCCTGTGGGCTCCATTAAGTCTTCTTTCTACCCCTGTGACTCATACGCTCATAAAAGATGAGATTTGCAGTAATTGCAATGCATCTCTTGGTACAAGCATCTTTCTTATAAGTCATAAAAGGCCCCTCAAAATTGCCCCGTGGTTACACACAGCACAGCCCAAGTTTAACTGGGCCAGCCTATGGGTAGTAAGAAGTATGGCTGGCCCATACCACTGATTATTGCAGGTGATTTATTTTAGTAATTACCTACTGTTGTCTGCATTAAACAGGCCTTTGACTATTACCTTGATTTGTAGGTTCAGAGTGCCCTGAGCTCGTTTCTGGATGTCATTGCATTTGCTCCCATAGATGTGACACAGGGTAAGTTTTTGATGTGTCTCCTTCAGTTTTATTTCTGTGGTCTGAACTCTGATGCAAACTGAGCAAACAGCAAATGGATTTGCTAACAGAGGAAAAATCTCTAAGGGCAGTTACACCAGTTAGCAGATGAGCTACAAATCTTCTGATGGATTGGAAAGAGACTGAACCACGATGTAGTTCATTAATATCATCGAGGGAAACGCTGACACTCAGCATTCTCCACCAAACAGCCCATCTTGTCCTGCCATTCCTTCCGCCGGTCGCAGGCATGCCCGTGACACACAGCACAAGGGCTGGGCACCAGAGCACTTGGCACAGAAAGGTTTCCATAATTCCTATCCGCTTCATATAGCTTACACTTGACCTCTTCAAATAATGATAATTGAATAGATAGAGCTGGGGACACTGAAGCGGTAACACAGAGTCTGCTGCCAGCCCTTTGCATCGAGAGCCTAATGATCGTTAATAACAACAAACCTGCCTTCGCTGGGCGGTGGGATGGTAAGTAGGGAGCTCCCGAGTGCGTTTCCACTCGCGGCTGGAGTCCTCTGTCTCGGGCTTGCCCTTGCACAGCCCTTTCCACATTACAGGATTGTTCCTCTGAGTAATCATCCTCTACTGGGAGTACGTTGTGCGAATGCCAAACACAGCCCTTGTTCTCCTGCTCTGGGTCTCCCGTGTGAACAGACACTGGGGTGTGAGAGTGAGAAGGAAGTTTCTCTCCAGATGCTGGAGGTGCTTTATAACCTAGTTCACTAATAGTGTGCCTCCATTCCTTAATTTATTTCATTTAACAGCATCCAACGTACATTAACAGAATATTAAGCTTTGTTTTATAGTTTAATAAAGATAATGTACGGTTTAGGAATGTCTTGCCCAACACAAGATAAATGTATTCTATGATGAATTTTGTCATTACTCTTGATATATTGTAGAAGAAAGAGCAGGAAAATAATCCCAACAGAAATAGCATGTCTGTACTCAGAGACCTCATTCAGAAATGTGTGTAGACATTTGGCAGCCCAGAAGCTAACCAAAGAATAGTTTTGAATATCATAATAATAAAAATATTCTCTCAGAGCTTGCTGGGGAAACTACTACAATTTTCAGATTCCACCCTTACAAAGCAGAACCCACGTCCCCAGAATTTTAAGGCAGTTTTATCTGTTGGTTAAATCAAAAATCATTTCTCCCCTCATATAATTAGTTTTAAGTACTGTTAAAATCATTGCAACTTGCACCAAGAATAAATATGACCATCAAGTTCTGAATAGATTCTCAGCAAGAGAAATATGTAAGAATTAGATTTAGATAGCCCTTGCACAGTCAGATGCTTCAGCTGCTGTGTAGGATAACCACAAATAAATGTAATCCAGCATGAGAAGAAAGTGAATGTAACAACAGTGTACAAAACCACGTGTACGGCGTGCCAAACGGCAACTGTTTGCTTTCTAAACCAATATGCTTTCATTTTTTACTAGCAATCTACAACACGAAGCTGGAAGACATAGACACATTGGAAAAAAAAGTAAACATAGATGAATTTACAGAGGTGAGATGTGAAGTAAGAGCATCCGCTTCAGAACATGATGTTTATCACAAAGTAGTAGCATTTCCCTGGGAACAGCTGAGTAAGTGAAGGGCTTCCATTCTGCAGCATCCCAGGTAACTGACTGCACCACTGAATCATCTCAGGACCTTTGAATGTGTCGGGCTGGAAGGGACCTTTAAAGATCACCTAGTGCCACCCCTCTGCAGTGAGCGGGGACATCCCTAACCAGATCAGATTGCCCAGAGCCCCATCAAGCCTATGACAGGTGAAACTATACTTACCGAACAACTCTGCGGGCCAAGACTTTGCCAGTCATTTCTGCCTACAACAGAGCTTACTTTGATGGCTGCGTAATTAAACCTGTGAAAAGGGATGGTTAGAACAGAAATAACGACAGACCCTCAATTGCAGCAGTGCTGGTGGGTGCTGTTACAATAATTAAAAGCAGAGTAGAAAGCAGCTGTGCAGAGACTAATTTCAAGCAACCATGTGTGATTTTTGTGCCGTCTTCACTCTCCAGAGACTCATATTTTGGTACTTTGCACAGAGATGCATTTTGATGATAACTTGTTGAAGGCTTTTTTAGGCACGAAATGAGGTATTTTTAAATTTAACCTCAGAATAATCGCATTTAATTAAGAAAACTATTGCGGATAATGGGAGCCCAGAGAATTGCTTTTGTCACTGAAATGAAGCATCAATCCATAACCCCTATGGAACGTGTATAAGCACTGAATGAATTAATGCTCCATTAGCATTAGAAAAAAGTTTAAAAATATATTTTGTGTACTCTTTATCTTAACTCAAAGACGTGACAACAGAGATCAGAAGTACAGAAGGCATGGACTGTCGAGCTGTCTGATGTACCAGCCAGCGCAACGTTGTTCTCCGAACGCATTCTCTGATGCTTCTTCCAGCCCCATTTTAATTGAATCAAATGACGAGGCTTTCATCACTTCCCTGGGGAACTGTTCCATAATCACAGGCCTCGCTCGCGGGACAGGGCTGCTCCTAATCCTCTGATACAATTTACCTTTGTTCATCCGTTTGCATCATCCACCAAGACCAGAAAGAGAGACGATCTTTCTCCACACTGGTCTTGGCTCTTTCACATGTGGAAAGCATTGCTTTTTAATGGATCTTAAAATTAAATGGCACTTTTTTTTTCTTCCTTGAATTCAATGCCGCTTTGGGTTACTTAAAAGCTGTCAGAAACTCAGCAGGGAGACCTCACACATTGTTGCTGTTGGGTTTTAAGGTTTTTTTCAGACATGCAAAACAGTAGCTGTTGTATTTTTACATCCCTCGTGAACAAGCTTGTGGAGTCTTTTATATTAAAACCACTGAAATCCCAGAGACCAGCCCTATTAAGTTTATTTCCGAGGCTTTACACTCTAACATGCAGAACCCCCAGCAGACTGACACAAAGCTGTTGACACCAGGGGAATTACTCCCATTGCCTTTGTCAGGTCAGAATCAGGCTTTGAAAGTGAGATTTTCCACGACTGCATGTGGCTCACGCGATTTCTACAGAGATCGGTAGGAACAAAACGCAAAGATCCATTGTTATTGATGATAACGTCTTCACAAACTACAGCGAGGTCTCATGCTGGATAGCAAGAAGGAAGTGTGCCAGCTTTCTTCTGATGGGCGTCAAAATCTCTTGGTTAATAATAAATAAATGTACATTTATTATGTGTACAGTACTTTACGCAGTGGAGTGCTTTACACACATCAGCTAAGAAAAGTTTATGCCTCTACGATAGTTCCTCCTGCCCCAACAGCCGAACATACGCTTCTAAAAAATTTTTCTGTGAGACTGTTAGCCAGCAGTATGAATACACAAGCCTTTGGATGTGTCACCGAGATGACACACCACAAAACAAGCTGCTTGTCCGGCCTGCCTCCTCCCAACTTCTGTCATCCTTAAGGCTCATCTGTCACAGGGCTCCGGGTTGTACGAGTTCCAGAAAGCTCGTAGATACATGTAGCCCCAGCTCTGCCACCCTCTCTCCAGCCCACCTACATCCTCTCTTTGTGCGCTGAAATGCAGAATAAACACACGTTGCGTCAGAGCAGCTTCTTCTTTCCTACCAGCCACTCCTCAGGCCGTCGGCTGCGGCTTTTCTGCTCTTCCTCTTCTCCACTTGTCCCATGTATTTGGAAATTACGCAATATAGACATGAATAATAATAACATATATCAATATTTCAGTTTGTTAATGCCTATGCGGCATTTCAGCAAGTCCAAGGTGTTCTAGCACTTTTGTCGGGTATCCATACTCTGAAGATGGGATAATGGGAAACATTCTGTGTTTTGGAAGTTCCTGCTTTTAGCCGTGTCGGCTCCCTGTTACTGTGGCTGCCTCAGGAACCTGCTACAGTAATTCAGCACAGGCTTTGGGATTGTGGTTTGTTCGGATGGCCGTTATTATTTATGTCATGCACACCACATTTTCAGAACCATATTGCTTTTGCTCATAAAAACCACATGGCTATAAATCCAAAGTGTTAAAGTGTCTCCAAGGCTAGAATTTAAAATAGATCTTGAGTCAGTAGTATTCCCCGTGTCAGAGGACTCAGGTGACAGCAGGCTTATTTTCAAAAAGGTTCATTCTTTTTTTCATTGTGTCCACACTGGTTCTCTAAACACTGAAATTATGGGAAATGGTCGTTTTGTGGCATTAGGGAGCTGAGTGACTGTCAGTTCTGCAAAAACTAATGGCTCCAAATGCCTCCTTGGGAGTAAAGTCAGGAATACTAAATGCTGCAGAAAACCATGGAGAACTTCTATCCTCTCTGAGATAACTCAAGCAATGACATTTCACAAGAGGGATTCTGATCCAGCATTTCTGAACCACTGAACATGATAAGTGACCTCTGAGCCAGGAGAGGAACTGTTGGAGATGCGTTTGTGCGGTGCCTGATGCAGCCCACAGAATATCGCTGCTTCTGAAAGAAAGAACACAGCAGGCAGCAAGCCTGCGTTGGGTTAGTGGATTAAAACACAGATTCCTATATATCTCATTGCATGCAATAGATTTGTAGGAGTTCAAATAAAGGTGAAAATACTTAAAGACAGCTAACCATTTACACTGCCGCTTTCTCTCCGTAGTATGTCCATTCCTACACTGAACAGTTTTCAGACGACATGTTCCAAGAAATCCTGAAGCATCTCTGTCAGTGCGCCGGCGACTTCCGAGAAGCAGTAAGACGTGATATGTGGAGGCAGATGTTTATCGGTCTCTTCCTAGACTGTGATTATGGGAAGGTAGGCAAGGCAGCTCTCCACCGAGTTGCAAGAGGGTGATGTTTCCAGTTTGGTATTTCTCTGGGTCACTGCTCTCCTTTTATTCTTTATGACTCTAGATACGCTCTTTGTGCTTATTCAGCATTATTTCAGAGGACAATAGCTGCTCCATTGTCTTCAAATTCGTAGTTCTTAGACACAGAAACAGCAAAAGCCTATAAGTTGATGGCTAATTAGAAACTGAACGACCCAGTGTGATGACTTGGGGCTGAAGTCTGATGATTCTGGAGAAGAAATTAACCCTGGTCTTTACTGTTCCTGGTCATCAGCTGTTCCCACAGCACATCTGGGATGTTTGGGTGCTAATTTGTCTATTCAGCTGTATTTCAGCAAAGATAACCCGATATAGATTAACCTTAAGAAATGTGCACATTACTATAATAGTAATGTATATTGCACTGATTATGTTGCATTAATTTATACACCTTTAGGGTTTCTATGAATAAATTTCACAGTTTAAATATAAAATGCAAAATAATCTATCTTTACAACCTCTCTGAGAAAAGTACTGTGAACTTCAGCTACACTTTATGGACAGGAAATTAAAATACAGTAAATCAGTTACAGAGCTCGAAATGGAGCTCAGAAGCCATAATTTGGTTTTCAGCAGCTTTAAACTCTGTCATCCTCTGAATACACCTGTATCCTCATTAAAAAAAATGCACACACACAAAAAACCAAACCAAACCAAAAACTCCTCCCAAAACAACCAACAACTTAGACTTATTAGAAAACCAGTAAATAGTAGGAGCTGGAGAATCAACGCCATAAGGTATTGCTAAAAACTTGGGCTTCATCCCAAAAGTATAGCACTTGTGAGGAGCAGCCTCATTAGACAATTGCTGGCTCCTACACAGCAAATGGTGGCCATAATCTTACAGTTTGCTTCCCTACATAAATTATATATTCCACCCAGCACTCCTCTAGTGATGTTTACAGCGTGCCTACCCAGAATGAACCGTGCCCTACAATGTCATGCTAATAATGTCATTGCCACTAAGAGAATGGAATTACAGAGCACGTTTCAACAGCAGTGGTGTGGTTTAGAGAATAGCAGGCGAGCTGCTGTTTCAGGGATGAGGACAGAAATGTCTCTACTTCTTAGCTAGAAGGCATTTCATTCTCCTACTCCTGTCAAGAAGAGCTATAATGGATCCTCCTGGGTAGAGTAATATCGAAAGCTGAGTCCTATCCATGCATTTTGAAAAGATCCCTTCTCCCTCTTTCATGTTTTAATGTGACTTTCTTCCTGTTATTTCTGTGGCAGCAATCACCATCTCCATGCTACTAATCCCAGTGGAATCTCAGAGGCAAAGAGCCAAAAATACTAGCACAACATAACAAGAGTGAGCAGCTATCAGCACAGATGCCATCGCTGCTCCCCCAAAAAGGATCAGAGCCCCAAACTGGTCACTGTTTGTAGCCTCTGAGGTAGCCTTGCTCTGCAAGCTGAGTTCACTAAACTCTAGCCTGGACCATGCAGTTCTAAACCTGACCTGGTTTCTTTTGTTTAGCTCTAATAAGCCCTGCCATGCTGTACCCACAGAGAAGATAAAAGATGCAAACTAACCCAAGGACTTCTACCACTGAATGGGACCATTACCTGTAGCACTCATTCTGCAAAGCACAGCGAAGCAGTTGTTTCAGTTCCTAATTTACATTTGTTTGGTAGCAGGCAGTTATTCCAGCCTGCGTGGTGAGTGTGGCTGGCTGCCCCAGCGAGCTGCAATTAGGGCCAGGGAGCTGAGAAAGCAGTCTTTAAATTACAGTCAAATTAGAAGGTATCCACATGATCATTATTATGATTTCAAATGCATGCATCCAGAAGGATGGCAGCTCAGCCAGAACTGCCTGCACTATACAGCAGAGCAGAAACTTTCCAAGGCAATACCAGCACACGGTTGAATCGCTGCTCTAATGCCCTAAAAGGCAAGAGCTCTGTGAATTTTAAGCATATGGTTTCTCTGTGCTCACGTGTATCAAGTTTCTTTTACGCGTTAGAACAGAACCTGCATTAATTTTCAGGGGCCTTTTAAGCCTGGGGTCTTTAAGGGTAACCGAATTTAGCCAGAGATTAGTTTTCCAACTAATGAAGTTTGAGACACTTCTGATTACCCTTCTTGCAGTACAGCAACAGCAAAGTCTACTTTCTCATGACCTTTTCTGTCTGTTCTGCCTGTCTTGCTCGCTAACAAGTTCACCGTGGCCTTCGAGATACACACATCACATTTCCAGAAAAACAACCACACGGTTAAACACTGACCTATCACTGATTAAATGGCAAGTCTGGGTTAGTCTGCCTTGCTAAAGGAATTACTCATAGATCACAGAACACTGCTGAGAACAACTGAGAATCATCACCTGCCAATATCTAGGTGACAAGAAAATGAGGCCAACCCGTTTCGACTCTCTAGCCAGTAAAGCTGGCACTTGTTAGAAGTGGAGACAAGTTTGGGGCAGCTGTACAAACACAGGTGGCCGCTGTTACTGGTGGTGGGTGCTGTACCTGTCCTGCCCACACGACTTGGTACAAAGGGCTGATGGGCAGGAATCTGTCATCAGCCTCCCCAGTCGGACATGAAGTAGAAAGAAACGTGACCTTTGCTGGTAAACTTAGGAATGCAGACATTATTTCATTGAAATTTCTTCTGAGTTAGCTAAATCCTCCAACTATATTACTTTAACATGACAAAAAAAGTATCTGAATCCCCACACAACATTTTTATTTTCTTTTTAGTCATACTTCATTCATTGATTGGTCTTTCTGATCAAACAAGGCTTTGCATTAGTGCTGCCAGTCTCAAGGCAACCAGCAGATGATTGTGACAAGTAACAGCTGAGGAAATTTAAAGGGAAAATTAAGTGTATGTAATGGGAACACTGAATGGGGAATCCAAATATTATGCAGTGATCTGGTAACATCTTCAAAAACATGGTCTGTGGGTGTAGGTCTACTGAGTGGATGCAGAATCCAATCTGGTACGTTCCACTGCAAACCAAAGGGCACAGAGAAATGTTTGCATGGGAATGTGCGAGGTGTTTGTATAGTAATGTCAAGAAGATGATACTGGGAATCAGGGCCTACATCTTGTAAGTTTAGGGACAGAATCACGTGATGATATTTTTTGTTCCAAACCCACATATGGCTGAAATTCAACTGTAATTTCCAGCATTTTTTTTACCAGCAGGAGTTATGTTACAGGAGTCTGAAACACTAAAACTGGACAGAACAACAGTTTACATTTCAGTTCTGATCCTTGTCCCAAAATTTGCAAAAAGCTTTCAGTTCCCTTTAAAGGAAAGGTGTTACAGTAACAGAAAATGTGACGTAATGACTTAGATTTCAGTGAGGCACTTTTCCACTATGTGATGGGCATCTCTCAGTTTTATTTTCAAATACTCTGTTCCTAAACATTGATGCTATTAATTACAGTTTTAGATTATAAACAACGCAGCTGCCTTGAGTGCATTTCCAGAAAACAGCAGCAAACTTCTACCTTTATTTCTTCAACTTAAGGGCAGGAAAAGTTCACAAAGAATTGAAAGCTTGGTAAATTTTACATTTTGCAGTCTTTAAGGGCAAAATGTGAAAAGGAAATCAATAATTCAGTTGGAAGGTTACTTGCTACAAATAATGAACTTAAGTAAATCTGTTCTTTAATTAACTACTGTATTTTACTAATGGGAGGGAGATTAGAAAGGAGGCAGGACTTAAATAATGACAACAAGAATTAATCATAAAATGGAAAACTTGCAATCTTTTAGATTTGTTTTACTTTTTAAACTCACAATTAATTTCCTGATTGGAAATGACCCATTTCGTTGTCTTTTCCTGGCTCTATTGCCTGTATACGCTCACCCTGAGCAGCAAGGACGTAATAAACTCGGCATGTTCCTCTGCCCTGCAACTGCGGATACCTCTCTCACCTCTGTGATCAAATGTGTGTGAATTTTTGAAGGAAATTAGGGAGGCTATCGTAATAGCTCAGATTTTGGGACTAATTATTTTCCCAGTACATAATACTTCAAAGGAAATGATAAGGCACAGAACCAAGCTACAACGTGCAGTCACTAATATATATACGGCACAGCCCATAATATGTGAGAATTCTCCCCTAGTACTGCCAGGCAATCAATATCTGTCCTGAAAGTGTGAAATGTTGAAGCTTTGATCTTTACATGAAGAACTCCTTTGGCAGAAGTGGTTACAATCATTCAAGTGTAATTTGCCAAGAATATGCAAAAGGCTGTGCCTGCAAAGTGATCTCTACAAGGAGTTCCAGCTAAGCCCAGAGAAAAAAATGTTGCCTCTCTGAAATAAATTCACTGCTTTGAAATTTGTACGGATGCTCTGGTAATGGGTAATTTTCAGCCACAGGTAATTCTTAGCTAACGGTGCCTTTGTAGTGCTGCAAATGTTGATGTAAGTCCCAGGAACCACAGGAAAAACCCCAATGAATGTAATCTTTTTGTCTAGGTTGGTCTCTTAGACAGACAAAAAATACTGGCCCTACTGACAGACTTCTACGACAGAAGCGCTGTGTCTGCCAAAGGGGGGTTCTGTAACCCAAGACACTGTAAGTATGTGGGATGTTTCTGTTGCGATCAATGCAAGGGAAATTACAGCTTTTCTTCTTAGTATGGAGAATTATGAAACATATTAATTTCAAAAGAAATAAGGTGTAATCCACAATAACAAGTGCAGTTCTCTGCAGGCAAAAATATCATTCTGAAGTTTTGGATTTTTGAGACGCATGTTTGCAGAAGGTACTTGCCAATAGTTTGTATTTATTTGCGAATACCTTTTTACTTTTTCTTCAGATTTCCTTATGCCATACTAGAGAACATAAACCCAGTGCAAGCTATCAACTCACTGATATTTTTTCTATTGTAGGGCCAATAACTGAGCTGCAAGAGATTGAGCTTGTGGATTTATGGGGAGGCCTTGATGACCAGGAAGTTTGTGAGGAACTCAGTGAAAAACTAGTCTTGTCTCAAACAGGAATTTCTGAGGAAGAGATTTTAGCATGTGAACCTGTAGGTGACAGTAGACGAGGCACATCCAGAATGAGAACTAATGTCAGAGAAGGTCTTTTTGAACAAATGGGCATGAGTGAAGCTGAGACTGGAGAAATTTCTACGGCAGAAAATCAAGCAGCAGAATCAAGTGATGCTGAGTTGAGAAAGAAAGGTGAGGGTGCTGTGTCAGTGGTGCAAAGCACTGATTTTGAAGCTAGTGATTTGGATAGAGATACCATACATAATGAGAAATCCAGTTTTCATGAGGATATCAAAACTGAGTCTGCAAGTGCAGACAGACCAGAGGAAGCTTGCCCAGGATCAGCCTCTACTGGGTATGGTCTCAGTGGAGTTGGAGAGCCTGGGTCTGAGAAGCAGGTGGAGGAAGAGGAATGTAGTCTGGGTAGAGAGCCTGATACAGAAACGAAAGGGGAAAAAGATTATTGTATCTCAGACAGAGAGCCTGGCTCAGAAAGGCAAGTTAGTCAAGAAGAGGACAACACAATTTTAGGATCGACACCTGAAGCTACAACCATGACCTCAGAAGACAGAGCTGTGGCAGACATGGACAGCAGTGCTTCAGAACAGGGTGCTCCAGTTGCAGAAGTTGTGAATGAAACCCTTGCAAGAAAAGACAGTTTTTCTAGCGAGCATGGCAGCCAGTCTGGCCAACGGACAAGCTCAGAAACAAGAGTGCAGGATGAGGACCTTCTGCAAGACCAGGGTGAAGGTAAAGCATTCTCCTTTATTCAGGCAGACCTTAATCTGTTCGACGAATACATTTGGACCAGTTTAATTACAGGTGTGCTTTTAATCCATTTCAAAACTACTGAAAGCAGGTGAGTGATTTCCGAATACACACCACCACAAGCTTTGCTGTCCTCTCAGCATGGTGTTTCCTGCCAGGGTTTCAGAGTGTGTTCCTGTCACAGGATGGCAGGTGAGTCACTTTGCTGGTGATCTGTATTCAAGGCACTGAGCAGACACTTTAATTCAAGTAAGGACTTTGTGAACCAGCAGCATTTTTATAATAAGGAGAAACTTTATGTTCTGTTTCACTCTGTAATATTAGTACAGCAATACAGGAGCCTGAGCACATTAAATATAGAGATTACTTTTAATAATTTTTAGGCTGTGATTGCCCATAGGGAGATATGAGATCATACAGCAGTAACCTTTTATTTTAATCTCTCGTGGTGTTCCAAAGAACCACCTTTCTTCTTAATTGTGTAGAAAAGCCCTTGTTCTAGGACACCTGTGCATTTCCTAAGAGGTATTTAAGGACCAACTTCCTTACTAGCACCCTGTGAATACACTCTTGCATCGCACAGTTTAAAACACTGCAAGAACTGGGTCTCCATTGCCAGAGCAGTCGAGTGACAGACTTATTACGTAAAAGGCTGTAAATGGATGGTACAGCCCGCTGGTACCTACAGCTTGCTGTGTTAATTTCCAGTGCAGAGCACTCACTTGTCATTCAGCCAGTCCCTGGATGTGCATCCCATGTTTTCTGGGGCGTGTGGTGCTTCCATTTTCAGAGCAGATTCCCATGCTGTTCTCGCAGAACTGGTAGTTTGGTGGTACAACATGGAAACATGAAGTCCAAATTTAATTTTGAACCTGTCTTGGAAAACAATTAATCTTATTTTTCGTGCTAAAATGGATCTTTGGCTGGGCTAAGAAATGTAACATTCACCAGATGAGTTTCAGGAAGCAGTATTTCCAGACAGTAAAAATAAACAGCTACTGATAACAAGGGAAACTCTGTAAACACAGAGGTACATTTTACATATTATTCATCAGGGTGCTCAGATTAGTAAGCTCTGGTTTATGGAAGATTTTTTTTTTTTAAATTGCAGGTCCAGCATGCTCAGATAGACAGGATTCTCCAGCTGAAACTACCCAGGAGTTTGAGGTGCCATGGTCAGGTAACTGCTCATGTCAGCTCTTCTCATCTGCTTTAGAAACTGTAGCTTGGATGTATGTATTTAGAGGCTTTTAGAAAAGCTGTGTCTTGTGTCTTTTTGAAAAGCTTATCTCGTTACAAGGTATATTTCATCTTTCATCAGGTGACCTTCTGACTCCTGACCTAAGTTACAGATATAGCAGCCATGGAGCTCGAATTCCAGACGACTGGAAGTGTGAGAACACCAGATTTCCAGGTATTTGGTCACAAAGTTGTGGGCTCACTTGTGCACATCGGGGCCGCCAGTGTCTGCAGATGTGCCAGTACTGCTGTGACCTGAGTTTCAGCAAGAACACAAACACTAATTCCTGAAGCTGATTTGAAGATAAGAGCAGTGTTGTCTTTGTCTCAGAAGGCCATTTGCTGTATGACAGTCATTTCAGCTCAGCTGTGTTCAGTGACTTGACCTACTTGTATGATATCATCCATGCTAGACTGGAGCATAAATCTGAAGAGATACTGTTAGAAAAGCACATAAGCAGATTAAGGCCCTTAGTCAGCACGGAATCAGTCTGTATTCAGCCATATTTTCTCTGGGTAGGAAGTGCAGGATTCAGGCCTGCGTTGGTATCAGCTTCAGGGCAGCCTCTGGCTTTCTGACACACTGTGCTTTCTGCCTTTCAGGCTTAGGTGCCATCATGGCAGAGATTCGGAACCGCTGGGCTTCTCATACTAGGAGTGCCTTTGATGAAAGCTGCCTCAACCTGCCACAGTTTTTACAGCTCATGGAGACATTTGTTGGTGAGGATATTTCTCTGCCTGCTGTGAAGAGGCTTATTGCATTTGTCAAAGAAGAATACAAACAGACAGAACAGGAAAAAACTGAACAACTAGAAAAAGTAAATATTGCTAAGTTTTGCTGATCCCATGTCCAAACAAAACACAAGCAAATGCCTACAGACACTGACAAAGTCAACTTTTCATCTCATGCTGGCAGAGCCATTCACCTGCAGCCTTGCATTCTCTATTTCTGCAGGAGACCTTTCACCCCTTTGTTTTCCTGGGGCTTCTCCCTCCCTAGCCCTTAGCTCTGGAAGTGATGACAGACTCATCCTGTAAGAGGTTGTCTGTCTGTTCTAGAGCCGGACTCAGTGAGACAGCGGGTTGATAGTTAATTGTGAAAGAGCTCCAAGCATTCCATTCTGCTTATTCACCTTTATAATAGCCAAGAACCTGATCTCTGACCTACTGCACTGCCATGTACATATGAGGTTGTGGATGTTTTGGGGAGGATTTTAAAACAAGTGTGTTAATTTTGCTGTGTGCATGGCTGTATGTGAATGTGCACGTGCTTCTTGGTGTGTTGCAAGGTGCTCTTGCCACGTGTTGAAAAAATATGTTCCCCTTCAGCAATATCCTGACGCACAGCATCAGGGTGCCCCACATCACTTCGGAATACGTTTACATCTCACAGTGGGTCTGTCCATAGTAGCCTCTCTAGCTGCATTTTCCTCAGACCTCTTTCTAGTTTCCCTCTGCGCTGCTGACCTAATTTGGATGAGATATTGGATCTGACGGCTCTTCTGTCCTCACGCTGAACACAACACACACTGCCAGTATTTTGGCCTTTGAGAGAATTCCACTCCAGCCATTTATCACTGTATGCTGTGCAAAGACCAGGTTTAAAGGACAAATGCATTTGCTTGGTGCCCACACAATACAGGGCAGCACTAGCAAACTAACAATATATGGAAATAGAAACTGTCACATCTTTTGGTGTTACTAACAAGGCCATGGTTGGTTCTTGCTGAGATGTATTCTGGGAAACTTCACTCACCTGAGTTGATCTTACCTTAGATCCAGCTTCATTTGTTCATGGTGTAATAACCCTCTGCAGTGCTGATTCTCCCTGGTGAAAATGAACCGTTGGTTGTGTTTCTAAATATCTCCCAGGTTTAACGATTCATCTCCAGGCCTGAGCTTTCGATGCCCAGGTTTGGCCTGACCCATAGGAATTTTCCATTTGTATTTTCCATTTGTGTAGACACTAAGCATCAGTGTCCAGGAGTTCTCAAGGACCAGCTGTTCCTCTGTTGCAGGTTCTCCACGTTTCTCGCTTGGCACGACGGAAACTGCTTCTGGAGGCACTTTTTCAAAAGTGGGACAACAATGCATCTGGGTTTCTGGACCTGGAAGAGGTGGATGCTATTCTAAGCACATTCAAGGAAGGGATGGAAAAAGAAGCCTTGAGGAAGGGTAAGGAAACAGCTCTGCTCTGAGACAACAATGTCAACACAGTAGGCCTTGAACCATCCACCGACAATAGTGATGAAGTTGTTGGCAAGCGCCAGCCATTTCTGGTTTTGCAAGCAGTCACAGGCATACAAGGCATGGTGTGTAAAATGCAAAGGAACAGCTACCCAGACCCACTTGTTAATGCACAGCTTCATCCCCTCCTCCTGTGCAAGACTCCTCTGCAACAGATTCCCATTTGGACAGAGGGCCCAGTGCTCTCAGAGGCAGCTCAATGCTCTCAGGCCATTGTGACGTGTTGCAAAACTATGTCAGCTGTAACATGCAATGTGTAGTTGTGATGTATCAGTGAAAAACACCCATAAAGCCTGAGGACATGTTTGCACTTTTAGACTAGCCTGTCTGTGTTATGCAACTATTTTTAATAGATACGTTTTACTGTTCTGTCTGCGGGAATGTATCTCATAGGAGAGAACATCGGCTTTCCTTACGGGTCTCAAATAGCCTTCAGTAATCCACAGTGTTGCACAGCTCTCATGAATTAGATAGCAACTTCAAGTCTCATTTCTCTCTTGATTCATTTCTCCAAATAAACTTAGCAAATTTTGCCCTTGATGACGTAGACTCGGGTCAGACGGAAGTGCTGCAGGTTCACCTGGACCTGTCTGGCAGCCTCATACATATTAACATATGGGCATTAGGTGCTCTGAAATACTGTATGAGCAATTACGAACATGTCTGCGTGCATGCTTGCGTGGAGAGGGCTGGTTTATTCATCTCCACACTCAACTTCACATTGCTTGTTCTGGTGCACATACCTAAAAATGGCTCACTTTGGCAACCACTAAAATCTCTTTAGCTCACTTGAGGCAGCTGGTGGGGTGGGGAGCACATGGGTGTGCTGCAGTTAATTGTCTCCAGGCTGCAGGAGGACCTGGCAATTTACAGCTCTCTGGTATTCAAAGCGTGCCAGTACTCACTACAGAAATATGGAAGGACATAGTCCCTTCCATGAAGGGCTCATAAACCAAAGGACAAATAAATAGTAAGGCAGCACAGCAAAATCGATACCACCTACAAGCAACATAAAACTATTTCTAGCAGCTTCTACCTAACCTCTCAAAGACACTGTGGAACTAGCAGGTTCGGGGGAAGGATTCACAGACATTGCACTCCTCCTGCATGAAAACACAGAGTGAAAAGTGGGTAGAATTATATGATTTCCTTCTAAGTGAAAAGCATGACATTGCAGATATAATGAGGAAAAATAATACATTACGCTATAGCTCAGTAATGAAGGCATTGATCATGCCACATTCAACTTCATGTGTATTTCTTCATCTCTTTCTTCAAAGAGAGGAAAAAGTGCAGGAGAAAATCCAAACACTTTTATACCATAAAAAATTCTCCATCCTACTTCGGTCAGAAAATCAGAAAGTAAATTCAAAACCACCAAATGTTCTTTAGATGATGGGCAGGATAAGACTGCTCCACCATGATTGGGGCCATTAGTACTTACTAATTCTACAGATAAAATCCATGATAAAATGCCCTCTGTGTGCTGTGAGAGAAGGAGGAGGCTCTTAGTTCCCATAAACATCCATGTCTTGGGTGCACTGGGAGGCAATCAGAGCAGCTCCCTGCCTGATCCTGTGCATCATCAATCAAAACGTTTTCTATTACACTGCTCCTTACAGCCCACTGTACGGATTGATCACAACACACTCCCCACTTAACGCAAAGTCACACTTCTACCTATATATCTTCGCTTGCTTAGTTCACCGGTCAGAGGCGCTAGACAAATCACTCTCTTTCCTTTTCTTTACTTCTTCGGGTCCAGCAGGATTTGGAATCAGGATGCAGAAAAAAAATGATGAAAGCGTTAGTCACGGTAGCGCCGGCAGCGGGCTCGGGCAAGCCCGGCTCGGGCAGAGCTCCAGGCCAGCCCCGGCTCCCCGGAGCCCGGAGGAGGCTGAAAAAAAGGAAAGGCTGTGCAAGAGCTCCCCCGTGAGCCCGGAGCTGCGCAGGGGCTGAACAACGGACCGGCTGCTGGTTCAAGGAAGGGCTGAACAGAAAGCCCTGGGATCCATCGCCGTTGTCCTTGCTCGGCCTGTTAGAATTGCGAGGCTTATATTTAGGAGCTAGCTCAAAGAAACCCAGAATGATGGACTGGAGCACTCCACCCAAAGCCAGTCTAGGGCTCCATTAGTATTTTGCACAAGAAAAGCAGCACATTTTATTCAAATAGACTCTACCTGTCTTATTTTCTGTTTCTTCCACCAGCAAAAGAACACCTGTGCTCCCGTTACCCACAGCTCAGCAGAACGGGAAAGCTGTCCCCAAAGGCATTGCAGGCTTTCCTTGAATTAGTTGCTTCTGAGTTCGGTGGCAATGAGGATGAAGCCATTGATAACTTGGTGGAATTTCTGACCACAAGTGTGGAACGAAGTCACGTGGAGTCCCTGCAGAGCTTAGCCAGGAGGAAATGGCTGCACAACATCCAGCAAGCAGCAGAGACCAGCGGAGTAAGCATGGATCCGGTTTACAAAGCAGTGTTTATGGCCCTTTCCCAGGTACGTGTTAGCTGATGTTCAGGAGAGACCATGGTTATGCACAAAAAGTGTCACAAGTCAAATCTGCAATACAAAAACCATGCTCTGCCAATAGAGAATGCGTCTTGTGGTTACTTATGTCTCACTTTTTGAAGAGATGACTTAGATCAGATTTGGAAATTCATAGTTCTAATTACAGAGCTTCTAAAATGAAATACACCAGACTCAGTTTGGAACAAAGATGGTTAATTTGTAGTGGAGATACAGTTTAATTTTTAACTTGCAGCTGCAACTTTAGATATTTATCCTTACCATTAAAGCTTTTCTCAAAGCAAAACTTCTTTCACAGCAGCTGAAGTGTTCTTACAATATTTAAGTTTGTAAATGTAGCAACTCTGGCACTTGTTTGTCTGATTTTTCCAAAGGAAGCTCCTATTGGAGAAGAAATTTACAGGAGTTTTGCTTAGGCACAGGTTATAATTAGGCATCATTTTTATATGAGCTGCTCCCCATTAGCAGCAGGAAAAAATAAATCCGTTTTCCTTGCCAATGAAAATACCAAGTGTTTTTGCTTGTAACACAGCATACCGGTCAGACGATCACAGCATAGACACGTACGTGTCATGCAGTTGGTGCCTGACATACAACATCAGTGACCCAGAACAGCATCTCAGCAAAAAATGAGACAAGCGTTAAGTACATGCAATAAGCATAATGGCCAGTGGCTGATGTATGTAATGTAATGGGCAACATTTGATCACTAGGATGCAGAAGTCCATGGGGATAAGAAGAAGATCAGTGCGTATATTGCCCTTTTGGAAAAGAACCATCTCTCACCAGAGCGGGGACAGACTCTCCTACGCTATGCGGCATGTACCGCAGAGGATGCTCCCTATGTTCTAAACCAGATACTTTATAGAGACATGGAAGGCATAAGGTAAGAAAAGCTGCAAACTGTTCCTTTTTCTAAAAAATACTTGGAGTGTAGGGGCAGTGTTTGGGGTGCACTGGAAACAGAGGTTGATAGAGTATTCCAGAGAGAAAATCTCCTCAGAGACAGTTGTGGAATGACTCATTATCATAACCACGCCCTTACACTTTGCATGGTCTTCTTTGAACTGCTCCGTCTGGGATTTCACTCCTTGCCTTGGGGAGATTAGCTCACAGTCTAATAAATCTCATCCTTTAGCGAATGTCTATTACATTAGGCCTACATTTCCTTCTTTAAAAATTAATTCCCTTACACTGATTTACTTCCATGGGATATTTTTTGAGAACAATGCCTTTCCTTCCTTAGCGTTTACACTATAAACAGCTTTCATGCCTCTTTACTTCTTGTAGCCAGACAAATTTGCCTCTTTCTTTAAATGTAACTGCTGCTTGCTTCTGTATTCCTTTCCATTACATTCACTAGCTGATGTCCTATGGATGAAAAGTGCCTCATTTATCACCACTGTCTTTGGGGTGTAAGAGGTAAATGTGGTATTTCTGGGTGTGGCCAGAGTAAGGAGCTAGCACCTTCCTTCTCTGATGCCAAAAGGCAGGCAGGGATCAAAGCTGCAGTACTTACTGGTTTGCTGAAGGTTTTCCACTACTCGTAACAAACCTCCTTATAAGTTTATTCTTCAGCTTTGCAGCTGTTGAAGAGGGAAAGCCAATCCATGTTCCAAGAGTTCAGCTCCACGGAAACATCCACTTCTGGAACTACAACCGCCCAGTGGAAGAAAGAAAAGGTTCACTCCTGGTACTGCCATTGCAGGATGCTCGCTGGAGAGTCTTTGGCATTCTAGGACTCGACACTCTTCGGGACCAGTGTGAGAAAACCATCTTTCTGACCCATGAGATCAGCTTCTACCAGGTGGGCACCATCAGAAAGCAATTTGTTAGCCCATTCTTGAAAAACTGCGTAGGGACCAAGTGGACTTTACATGTTCATTCCAAGTAAATGTAAGATGTACAACTGTCCCTTCTACTGTATATGGTGAAACCGGTGTGAGCAGAACACCTGATCGATATCTTACTGATCAGCACCTTATTTGTAACTGATCATCAGGTATTGCTTCACCAATAATTTATTTAAGCTTCTCCCGACTAGTCAGTTAATTGCACTTTTGTGCGAAGCCCAAAGATAGTAGCTTTTATTTCCTGAAGCTCTGAACCTCATATTTGTTGTTGTTTCCATAAAGTGACATGAAACCTTACTTTTTACACGGCGGAGTCATTAACAAGCAACAGCAGTCCGGATTTCTTTGGGATGCTCGTTAGAATCCACCTCACTGTGGATGCACCATCTGGGCAGCAGGGAGCGCAGCAAGCCAACAGAGCAGTCACTTGGGTTAGCTCCACTAAAAACAACCTTGTCTAGTTTAGGACCTCGCTGTGACCTGGGTACTCGGGAGGTTTAGAGCATTATTTCACAGTCACTTTTCAGCTTTACAAATAACTTGTTATAGCTGTTTCGCTTCATTTTTCTGCATGAACGTTTGCCCAGTTGTTTTTTCCCCAAATCACGTGCAACTGTCTGGCTCATTTGGAGGACTCTGCTTTCACAGGGAGTTGCTCATGCATTCAGCAAAGCCTACCACCATGTCTGCATGCTGCTTTACAAGTAACTTGTTATAACTGTTTTGCTTCACTTTTCTGCATGAACGTTTGCCCAGTTTTTTTTTCCCCCAAATCACGTGCAACTGTCGGGCTCATTTGGAGGACTCTGCTTTCACAGGGAGTTGCTCATGCATTCAGCAAAGCCTACCACCATGTCTGCATGCTGGAAAATGTTCTACAAATGACGGTTACTGCTTTGGACTGGTTGTATCCCAGGGCACCCAGCATCCACGCTGTAGTTATGTACCTGGTGGAGCCCAGCAAAGACAAGGTACGCAGGTACTGCAGTGTAATAGTCAGGGGCTGTAAGGCTGCTTGAGTGAGGACATGCCATTTGTAGTTGCCTGTGATTTCCCAGTGGTTTTATCATAAAAACTGAAGCCTGCTTGAGGTACTTGTGCCTGCCTGTGCAACAAAAGGGCTACAAAGGGAGAAAGTTTCCCTCTGTAAAGGAGGCCTCTCTTCATTGATTTCATCCTCCCATGTAAACCAGTTCAAGAGCACTGCTAAAACAGCGCCTTGTCTGTGGGAAAAGGGAATATTCTCCCACTTCAATGCTTACAGCTGCACAGCAATCAATAGAGCAAAACCCCACACCCATCCCTCCATCCATCCACAGGGCAGCCGACACTGCAAGTCCCTGCAGCCAAGACGTAAATATAACTGAGGAAGCGGCTGCTTCCCAACCAGTTAGCTTGTAAAGGCAGCCCCCGCCCTGCAGCTCATATTTGAGTTATTCCGTGGGCACTCGGGCCCTGGGAAGCTTGTCACTCCACAGACAAGTGAGTCAAGACGACGAAAGTGTACGCAACATTTAGGACTGATCCCGTGTCATCACAAAGTCTGTATGACATCTGCTGTAGCCATAATTCAGCTGCTTCCTCTGATAAGCTCGGTTTATGTTGGCAGCTTTCTGTCGTCATTCCGGGCTGTGCACTGTTCCCTTGTTAGCTGCCTGATAGCCAGGTCATTTGCTTTTCACGTACTGACACAAGCATGACATGAGAAAGAGCACGGCAAGAGGATGGGAAAAAGAAGGGAAACCTCTTTGTGGCCTGTGGGTGTTCCTCTCTGGGGGGGGGGTGGATTAAATAGTCTGGCTGAGGGGGGTCCAGGGCACATTCTTCATGCATCTTGAGCAACACATTCTGGGAATAAAACCAAGCATTGTTGGGAGATGTCTTTAAACTATCCCATAGCACTTAGTTTCTGTTAAGAAATAAAAAAAAATTCCTCCCTCTCCAAGCTTCAAAATGGCTGTTCCTTTCTTGGATGCAGCTAAACCTCCCTTTTCTCTCCGGCAGACATGGGACTACGCTCTGCGCAAGATGATTACTCTAGATAACACAGGACAAAAAGAAATTCAAAGCTCTCCTGTTCTTCTCAGAAAAGAAAACCTCTTAAGGTAGGCTCCAGCACCTGCAATCAGAGTAATCACCTCTGGTCCTAGACTCCTGCCTGCGTCAGGCATGATCCATGTTACACAAAGCCTACGGAAAAACTTTGCCACGTGCCTGCCTGTAGCTCTCTCACTGCCAACGCTTCTGGTGCATATGCACGTGATACTGAATTATGAAGGGGTGAGGAGTATTTTCTCTTTGAGTTTAGGCCTGCAAAATCTTAACTTCCAACTTAATGCTTACCGGCTGAGCAAGCTCTCCATCTGCTGTGAAAGGTTGGCAGGATTAGAGCCTACATTGAACCATCTTGCTCTTTGGAATAATATGTCTGTTTCCTGGCCATCTTAGTCTCACTTCCTTCAACTATCGGTTTCCTTCTGCTGCCAAGATCCTCACAGACTTGTCTTTTAAGCGTACCATCCTTGCTGTCAAAGTTGAACAGCCATTTGCTCTTCCTGCAGATGTTTTTACTTTTAATAAAACTCTATACAACAAATGTCAACATAGATCTAAACAGGAAACAGTTTTTAAAGTAAGGTTTGTTAAATTCTTATGATTTTCACCAGTTGCCTTGGATAAGCAATGCTGTGTTCAACAATGCTGTTCTCTCCTTTTTGTATATGGCTTGAACAATACTTAAAGCCGTACAACAAAAAATGAAATATGCTAAATAAATTACCAAAAGAAACTGAAAGGGTAAAGTCAAGTACATTTTCCTCTCTTTACTCTCATTTCAGAGATTACCTGTTTAGGTGCGTAGACAGTTCAGAGGTCATTCACCCTTCTGTCCGCGGACAGCACCACATCGCCGTACCTCTCCGTGACCTATCAGGACAAGCTTTTGGAGTATTTGACATCAGCATCGGACACCACCAGAAATTACCACCTCCTGAACACAGTGACCTGCAGAAAATGCTAAAGATGGCCCAAGCTGCCTGCTCGGAGATACTGAAGATGTCTTTAGAGGAAACAGAACCAACTTATGTGTTGGGTATTGTGCCTACAGAGTCAAGGCATTTTTTTTAGGGGTGAAATTAGGAATCTCAGTAAAACCATGCCTAAAGTATCATTCCTACAAGTATGGAAAGACAAATAGAAACCTTTGGTACATGTAAACTACTCCTGAGCAAGCCTAAGTGTTTAGCAGAGTACTGTTAAACAGAATGTTTAGCTTTTGACTTTGGTTCACAGCATATTTTCTGCTCAAGTCCCACTGAAGTGAAGGAGTGAAGCAAGGGTCTTTGTTGCCTTTGCGGATGTAGCACGTCCTCTTAGGATTGCCCCAGCTAAGATCAGAAGAGTTTGAATTTCACAGTTACAGAATTACCTGCATGCCTGAACCCTTCGTGGTGTCAGGATCTCTGCTTGCCCCTGCAGCAGGTTTTGTCTCCTTCTCAAGCACATACCCGTTTTTAAAACTTTCATGGGATACTTGGGCTGTAAATCAATCAGTCAAGCAGACAAAGAGTTAATCATAAAGAGGGCAGAGCCTTTCAGTCAATAACATAAGTCTTTCGTAGCAGATGTTTCGGAGCAACTTAACTGAAAGGTTTGCTTTTGATTCCAGAAGCCGAACACATGGCACATTCGAGGCATGCAGCCATTCTGTTCCACCGGTTAATGCTGCAGGACCTGCGTGAGTGTGTCTGGAAACTGGGTGCTGAGAGCTTTGCTGAAATAAAGAGCTATGCAGAACCTCCAGCTCTGGTACACAACACAGTTAAGGCTGTGCTGTTGCTTCTCCATCCAGACTGGAAGGGCTCAGAGAAGACTGAGAACTGGAGTCAGTGTAAACTGGTGAGACTTCAAAACGCTGAATTTTTTTTCTGCTCTTCTTCCCCCAAGAAAACACAGTAGAATTTGCCAAAAGTGAACTGGCAGGGAAATAATTCATTACCTACAGATATCCTATGCGCCTGACTTAGCAATCTTTAATTCTGTAACCCTCTCGAGTTTTTCATGGCCGCCTGACTTTTTCTGTTCTCTGCATTGCAGAAACTTGATGACAATTTGATTCAGGAGATTTATTGCTTTGATCCAACTGCTGCATCTGTGCAAGTTCAAGCGGAGCTGCTGCTGGACTGCATCACTGGTAAATACCTTAAACTAATTGTGAGATTACCAGACACGGCTCAGCAATGAAACAGTGTCAGTGGCAAGCTTCAGCTGAGTGCTTTTAAGGTCCTTACTTCAGAAATTAACTTTGATTTCACAATAGATTAAACAGATAAAGGGTCCTAAATATCTGCAGCCTTTTTTTTTTGGTTAATAAAAGTTAGCCTGTTAAATTTAGAATCAAAATTCACTGCCTTAAGGAAAGGGGAGCAGATCAGCTTTGAAACCTCCCAGAACAAGTGAGCTCATTGTAATCCTCCAGACAAACATATTAAGAAGGATGGTTCTTTTGGCAAGTACTATGTAAAGACATATTAAGAATGATGGTTCTTTTGGCAAGTGAATCTACTTCAGCCCCCCGTGCCATGCCCTAGGGACTGACCCAGCTCCAAACAGCAATGCAGTTGTGGGAGGACAGTGTGAGCCCTCTTCTTTGTAAACACCATCTGCCAGGTACTTAATATACTCACTGGCCATCTACAGGAGCTGGTTTTCAGTCCGTCTTTCTCTCCTTTAATAAATGTGGGCTTCCTTGGTGCCAGAGCAGTCAAGAGGCTGTTATTATTTGCAATATCTCTGCAAGAAAAATTACCGTTGTTCCCTTTGAGATCTCTCCCTTGATGATTTAATGCCAGTCTGAAAGACCTGTTAAAAATGAAATGTGGACAAGACCTGTTCATTTAGCTGGGGATATTTATCAACAGTACCCTGCCTACCGATGAACAGTGAACACTTAATGCAGCTGAAGTTCCTTTTCATGTGTTCTCTTCATATATACTGACCTAATTCACTGGAGAGATCAAAGCAGGCCCAGAGCATCCAGTCTTCCTCCAGTTAGGGCAAGAGATGTACTCCTTGAAGCATCACTATTTTCCAGGGTGGAATTACTGAATTTGAGAAGAGCTCCACTGCTCAGATGATCTTTTGTTCAGTTGCTGCTGACAGTTTTGACGTGGCTCTTGGAGTTCCTCTCCTCTTGGTTTCAGGTGTTCCCAGCCCGGAGGAGCGGCAGCACAGCAGCACCTCAGCCCAGCTCCTGCACCTCTGGGTCTGCACCTGCCTGTCGCTGGCAGAGATCAGCCGGAGCCTACGCAGGGAAAAAACCCATCGTGAGCCCCTTTCGGCATCCAGCATGGGCATGCCGCTGATTAAATCCCTGAATTCCCCATCTAACCTTAATGCTCCTGGCATTTGACATCTCAGTTGTTGGGCTTTTTCATATTTTATGCATAGTTGCAACGTATTTGTTGTTTAGATGGTAGGAAGTCAATGCAAACATTAAAAGAAACAATTTTGCTAGTATAGCTAGTAAATTTTAAAAGTTTGTTTAAAGGGTTTGGGTTTGTTGGTTTGGTTTTGGTTTTGGGGGGTTTTTAAGACTAATTCTGATGGGAAAGAGAGGCAGGGACAAGTTTATGGCTGCCAAGCTACATGCTCATACATGATACAGCAAAAATTCTCAATATTCAGTCTCCTTGAATTACTTTTTAGGAATAATTTTAAGTAAAGGTTGTTAATCAGCATTTTGCCAAGTTCTGCTAACATGTTGCGGAAAAGCCCTGCAATTTTAATATAACAAAAAAAAGCTTTCTTATTGGGAAAAAGCTTGAGATTACAGCCAACGGCACTGCCGGCAGCCAGATTTCATCTTTCCAATAACGAGCCTTTGGGCAGAATCACTCTTTTAATAAAACTTTGGGAAATTAAAACTCCTCTTTCTTTCTTTGGTGGACAACAAGGCACGTCTGCAGGTGGGT